GAAAAGATATTGGAATAAAATGGATGAAAGGTCTGATTCCCTTTCTAAAATAATTGAATCAGTGGTGCCTTCTAAAATAATGGAACAACAGTCTTACCTTTGGAAAAGGACTATAAACTCCTTAAAAGAACTGTTAAGTCATTCTAATAGGTGGTTCTTGAGAAAACCAAGAACCACTGGTGACAATGTACATTTATTCTTATTATTATAAAAAGTCTATTAATTCTTTTTAGCTATTAAAAATCAAATTAGAATTTTTGCTGTTGAACCACAGTAATAACCAATAGAAACACTGCAAAAAGTAAGTGATGTCATTTTCACCGATTGTTTGTGTAATTTCCAAAAATAAATTTTTTTCTTTTTTTAAATACTTTATACCATGGTACCATATTAAAAATTATTTGGGTTCTTAAAATACCCAGATATAAAATAAGGTCATGATTTTCAATAAATGTTATTTATTCGTTGACCAAAATATTACTTATTATTATTATCATCATCATATACCCAGTACAATATAGGGGGTAGTTTACAATCCTTATACCCCATTCACAGTACCCCCCCCTCTCTATCTTGCTATTTATTGTAGCTCGGATGTAAGCAAAAAAACTCAAAATTTTAATATACCCGGGGTACTATAGCCCCCGATATACGGTACGTACACTCATGTTATTTATTAATCATATTCTATTATAATAATAATAATAATAACCAAAAACTTTTTTTCTTTGTATCTCGGAAACTTTACAAGAAGCAGTCGCTTCTTACTTCGTGTAAGATGTTAGGAGTACGGTAGCTACTCATTCCCTTATTCCCTTCTTTATCTCTCTATCTATTATCATCTCCTCAAGTCAATTATTCCTCTCGGAATAAAATAAATACATCCTTATATGCGTGTATTTTTAATTAGGCATTGAATTAAATATTTTTTGAGATTTATTATAATAATAATTACTTACATTAAAAAATTTTTTTTTTATTACCAATGAACCAAAAAAATAAATACATAAATATTTATTAAAATACATCCTTTCTCCACTATGGTATTTTTGGTATTTTTTTTTTCTTTTCAATTCTTATACATATATGTATATTTATCTATATAATTTTTTTGATGGGGATTTTCCAATTTAAATGATCTCTTAGACAATTGAATTTTATCCATTGAGCTTCTTGTCTTCTCGTTCTGATAAAGCCCGAAGATTAGGTTAAGGTTATATTTTACATATAATCTATATGTATTATTATTTAAAGTTATTATTAAATTTTACATTTCTTTTTCATGATATTTATTAAGGCCAAACAATGATATGTTATTTATCGTATCCATGTGGTCATAAGAGACCATTACCTAAAGATGCTACTTATAGTAAACCAACTAATCAAGGTGTCAATCAACTCAAATATCAACATTCCCTCAAACTCACTGCTGTATAATTTACGTGTTTTAAATTCTTATTGGATTAATCAAGTAAATTAATTTTCTCTTGTTAAATATAAAATATTTTATTAAATATGATTTTAATAATATTTTTTTTTAAGATGCAACTTATAAATATTAAATATTTTGAAGTAATTCTTGTTGACCTTAATCATAAAGTTATTTATCGTGATCCAAAAATTAATTGAATTGTTTTGTCTAAACATAAACATCGTGAATTATTTAACTAGTATCGGAAAGAAAAATTGTGGTTTATGTAAAGGTTATCATTTCAGTAAGACTAAAGGTGCTGTCGTTATTCTAATTGGCATTGTCATAATAAACTTTCTTTACGTTATCGTTAATTAAGAACAATTTAGGTTATGTAGTAAATCAGTTCCATAACAAAAGAAATATATAATTTATTGTTTCATTTTTTTTTAATTCGTTGATGTGCTAAAAATATTAAATATATTTATCTAATGCCTTTTATTTTAAATTTTCATTTTTGATATAAATTCTAATAAAAAAAAGTACCATTTTTTTTATAATTATTTTATTATTTTCCTTGATAAACTGTTCATCAGCTTAAGTTCTTTCGATTCATCGTTTCTAGAGTATTCATGTAGTCTCCTAAAAAGTGAATTTATAAATGGTTAGAATCGCTATATAAAACTGTAATAAATTAAGGTGCTTCGTTTATCTTCAGTTAAGCCACAAAAACAAGAGACCCACCCCTCAAAAATCCCCCATAAATCCCCCATTATAGGTTTCGCTTTTCAGAATGCCTCTCAAGTTAATGTCACTTAAAACCTACCCGTAGAGCAAAACAAACTGAATTGTTTCCGAATAAGCTACACACCCACGACTACTTGGATACGAATTAGACGTGAAATGTGCGAGTACTTATTTCCCAATGTCGCCTTCTTACAAACCTTAGTTTAGGTGATCTTACACTTTCGATTTCAATTTCTATAGATAAACAAAGCAGTTAGCTCTTATTTATATGGATTTATCATGCAAGAAAAAATATACTTACAGCATCAAACATCAAATTCACATATTGAGTAAATTTATGAATTTGCATTTGTTTTTCTTCGAGAGCTTTATTTTATATTCTTCTTCACTCATTGCCAATTTTAAAAATTTCATTCATCTTCCTTCTCGATTTCCTCAAATTTCTTTGAGAATATCAAGAATATATTCTGTAATTTTTCCGATCCATCGTTGAGTTATTTCATTGTCAATATTGTCAATATTCTCTTTGATAGAGGATGATGCTTCTTTCTGTTTCCACCTAATGTTAAAAATTTCAGTTTATGTTCCTACACGAAATCAAATTATTCTCATACAGAACTTACCAAGACAAATTATGACCTCTAAAATAGAGACGTGCATATCATGATTGCACAGTGACCTTTCTCATCAATCGAAACTTTATATATTTTTCTTAAATTTTATCAATAAGTCAGCGATTTGGCTTTATACTGACTGTGAAATAATGACTTTTTCAAAAAAAGTTTTATATTCTCTGATAAAATAAAATATATCGGTATCACCGAAGTCAGTACTAACGGGGGGCGTTATTTAGCACAGAAAGAGAATGTAATTTTCATTACCAACGAGTAATTTATACATCGCCTCCTCGATGGGATTAAGAAATGCTTCAATCACTCCTTAATGTGTGAATAAAGAAAATAAAGAATATATGCTAGTAATATTAGAATTACGGTTTTGCTTTGAATATGAAATTTTTCAAGTTGTTTTTAAAGATAATCTTTATTATTCAACCTATGACGTTGAATAATATTTTCATTGGTCAACAAACTACACTTTTATTGCAGTACATAATTTGTTTTTGATTCATTATTTATTAAAAATTAAAATTACATTCACAATTGTTCCTTCTTTCAATTTGGTTATCTATACTATATTAATTAATGTACTAAATGTGTCAATTATACGATTTTCAATTTATTTATTTAATAAATATGCGTCATTTTTAAGGTGACTCATCCATTTCATCTGATTCATCCTCGTGTTCTTCAGATAATACATTATTATCTGCCATAGACTTGATTTTTGACTTCGCCGCTCTAGGCGCAGTCCTGTAAAAAGTTGAAGATAAAATAGATTAAATATACAGAAAGGTATTGTTAAATAAATAAATAAATAATATTTAACTTACTTTCGGGTCGCAGACTGTGATGTCTCTGGAGCATCTGCCCCAAACTTGCGTCTCTTTGATGACGACTGACTTGTAGAAGACTTTTTACGTGATTTTTTATTTGCTTTGTGCTAAGTATCATTATTTATAATATTATATAATTTATATAGAACATATATATAATTAATTTAATTAAATTAGACGTAGTGAATTCGGAATTGTAAATAAAAAAAAAAAAAGGATTAATCACAAACCTTTTCACTTTTATGATGTGTTGAAGAATGAGTTTTTTCAAGTTCTTTAAGAAATTCATTTGGAATGTAATTTTTTTTCGTAATCTGAATTTCCAATATATAAGTAATATAAGTCACAAGCAATGAAAATTTAATATATTAATATAATTAGTCTTGAAAATAGAACTATTTATTATTTAAAAACGTAATGTAACCTCGGCAATAACTTCAGGACTGGATATATTCTTAAATAAGTCAGATGGTAATTCGACTTGTCCTGGATACGCGGGTAAAGCCCACGAATTTGATTTGCACTTTGCTCTTATAAGATATTGAGTTATATCACTCAATGTACATAAATTCTAGATTATGAAATAAAAAAAAATTTTTTTTGAATTTTTGAACTGAAGAATTGTATCAAATACAATAAAAATTTATTACAATCGATTATTATTATTTATTATATATTCAATTGAAAATACCTCGCATTGATCCAAAGACTGTTCATCGTTTACTTGTTTTAGTCGTCCGGAAATATGTAATAGAAAAGATATATTTTCCGAATTTGCAATGGTTTCCAAAAAGAAATCAATATATCTATAAAAAAAAAAATATATTAAAAAAAACCTATTAAAGGTGAATTAAATTTAAATTTACGTATAAATTATTTTCTTACACTACAAATTCACTAAGAACTTTTGGTTCACGGGAAAAATCAGGATGATGTGAAAGAATATATATTAAACGAACTAATGACATTTCTATAGGTACTGAGTTTCTATTACCTAAAATCAATTAATGTAAAAAAAAAAAAAAAAAAAAAAAAAAATTATTGAAATTATTGATTCTATAATTGTGAAGATAAATTGTATAATTCTTTTTAAAAACGATTATGACTTTAATAAAAGACACCTACGAATTATTTTTTTTTCTCGTGACTGCCTAATCAAAAAAACTTTAACCTATATTTCATAATATTTCATAATATTTAATATTCAAATGATAAGATTCTTAATTAAAAAATTGGTTGTAATTAATAAAATTAATAATTCAACATAATTCACATTAAAAAATAAAATTACCATTTCACGTATATCATTCATAGGATCATGTGCGATCAAAAAGAATATAGACAAATATCGAGAACTCAATCGATGTCCACCACAATATTTAACAAGTCGCGAGGCAAACGCCAACCGTACTTGGTAACAGGGATCCTATAGATCAATGAAATTCGGGAAATTTAATAAAAGTCATATAAAGTCATCTTTTAAATAACACTTAAAATTTGAATAAATTATTTACTTGTATCATCAAAGCAAGCTCTTGAAAATCAGCAATAGAAATCATTGAATCATAAATTTCTTGGGTTGCAAGCTTCAATACAGAACGCATTGCAGCCAAACGTAATCGACTCTGAAGAGATAGACTTTGATCACAGAAGTTTTTCGTTTTAATCAGTTTAATTCAGATATAATTGAATGAATGAACGAATGAATATAGATTCTTTAGTCAATTAAAATTTACCTACCTAGTAGATTTATCTTTGAGAAGTTCACCACCTTCTCTTATTAAAGTCCAAAGTAATTTGAAGACTTTCTTAGCCAAATCTGCAGCTGCCTTTGGTGCTAACAAACGGTTAACAAGAACTTTTAATCCCAATATCTAATAGTGCATATATATTAATTAATAAGTTGATTACGTGAAAAAATAAATTTCAAAAGAAAAACTACCTTAGCTTTGAATTCATCACTGAGATCATCATCGTCGACCCAATCAATGTTGGATTCTTGGGTTGGCTGACATAAAATTATAAAATGGTAAATAAAAACAAAACAAAAAAAAAAAGGAATAAAGGATTTCTAAAAAAAAAACCTAAACAAATACTTGTTGAACATTCGTCGTAAGTAACATGAGTATAAAATCCGTGATAGCCACTTCTTTTTCGTCAAAAGTCTCGGGAGAATACAAAACGCATTGACTAAGTGCAGAGAGATTTGCCAAAAGGTGTGGTGTGTCAAGTGAAAGTTTAGGAATTATCTCCTAATTTTTTTGAGATTAATTTAAGTTCATAGGCTTATGATTATGTCGAGAGATACAATCATCTGATCAGCAATATCTAATTCTCACGTTCAATAAATCCCTACAGATATTTTCCCTATAACGAACATGACCCAATATTATTGCAGCGAATTTGGCTTGACGTGGAGACCCTTCAAGTGCATAATCCATAAAGCGACGTACAAATTCTCTATAATAAATTGAAAAAAAAAAAAAAAAAATTAGACTCAAAGTAAAACTCAAACAAACATAATATTTAATTATTACAAACCGATCTTGAGGTATTTCATCAGGAGAAGCAATAGATAATTTGGAGAAAGCCTGTAAGCTATCCTCAACTATTATATAAATGGATTAGAAAATAAATTTAACTTAAATAACGCAATTCTAAAAAAAAAAGTCTTTACCTATTAATGGATTTTCGTTATCAGTGATTGATTTTTTCAGCTCATCAAGGTGAGGTTTAAATATAGCAGGAAATCGAGATGAGATATCCTATAAGATTGTAGATATAAAATTATTTTAAAGGTTTAAGATATTTATTTAATAATAATGAAGCTTTTTAAAAATTTTGATAAAATAAAAATACCTGAAATAATTCATGCGCGACATTAGAATCCGATGATTTTATTTTAGATACAAGTAAAGGTACCAAGTCCCTATTTATAATAGCCATGCTGATTCTACGAATAAGTATTGAAAAAGTTTCTAACGAAGAATTAGAATTTTGTTCGATACGTTTAAGGACTTCTTCCTATAAAAAAAATGAAGAATAATTTATAAAATTATAACGAGATTTAAAATAAACCTTGTGAATTCAATCAATAATATCAAATAATTACAGCAGATTTTTTTACGGTCTTCCAATCAGAAAGCGGATTCATGCAATCTCTTATCATTTTATAAACACCAGAATCATAGAGTTTAGGGAAAGAAGAGAGATGATTGGCAGATTTCAATGGATCAGGTAATTTATCTATATAAAATAAAATAATAAAGACACAATAATTATTAAAATAAGAACATTAATGGAAAAAATAAATAAATTTAAACTCTCACCCGAAATTCGTTGAACAACTTGATTTAAAACATTAGTAAAATTTTCGCTATCATTATTTGCCATATCTTCCTGTGTGTGATTATAAATATCCAAGAGAGAGATAAGTAATAATCATTTCACATAAAACTTCAACTCAAATTACAATTCAATATACAAACTTTATATCTATCACACAAACTCAAATATGCGTTCATATCGTTTATTACACTAATTAAGATGAATAAATAAATTAATAATTAAAGATTTAAAATATCAATATCATAAATAATACCAGAACTTACTCTCGTTGTCTTTGAAATAATGAAAAAAATCCTTTCTTTGCTTTTGCATCAAGTGACTCAAAAACAACAAGTAATCTTTCCATACGAATCGAATCATCGTTTGAAGGTGAAAGTATCTCATCATGTAAAGCCTTCTCAACACACGCTCTAAAATGAAAATAATTTTATTACATATTTAAAGATTTAAAGATTAATCAACCATTTAATTAAGTAAAAAAAAAATTTCAAACATGATTTCATTGTCGTTGGTGTATAAAGTATTCAATATCTCTGAAGGAATCCATCCAAACTTTTCGATTGCACTTGCATCATGATCAACACTAAAAAAAAAAATTCATATATAAATTTTTTAACATCAATAAATTCTAAAAATTTCTACTCAAATAATTTAACTCACATTTCCATGTATGCCAAATTATATAAGCGAGCTAGAGCTTTTATTGCCTCTTGTCTAACACCGTGCTATCAGAACATATTAAACATATTGAATAATATTAATAATATTGAATATTTTCAGTTAATTCTTAATTCCAAATTCGGTAAGCAAATATTTTTCAAAAAAAAAAAAAAAATTCCGAAATTTACTTTACGATCACGACAACGCTTAGCTAATTCAACAAATAATTCTTTTTCTACAAGTTTAGATGCACACTCATATTCTAATTGACTAAAAACTTTACACACAGTGATACGAACTTTATCATCAGGATCCGACATCTTGGAGATAATAGCCTCTAAGAGAATGAAATAATTATTTCTTGACAATATTAAAAAAATGCGACATTAATTATAAAAAGTCTTATTATCATTTATTACCATTAATTTGCTTAGCCAATTCGTGATGATTAATATATATAGGAAGGCAATATTCGGTCCAAGCACATCTAACATCAGCTATTTTATCGTTACGCCTATCATTTTTCATTACAGAAAAAATAATTTATAAATAAAATTATTGACAACAAAAAAACACAAGACTCGTAAATTCGAATTCAATTGAAACCTAAGTAACCACATCTTCCAAACATTATCATAACGACTAGCTAATGTGGAATTCTTTTCGGAAAACATTTCTCCAAGAACTTGAGTGGCAAGCATGCGAAGGTTCAAGTCATCCAACTATTAAAAACAAAAATATTTTAGCAGATCAATTAAAAATTAACATTAAAAAAAAAAACAAAAATCTAAATAACCTTACTTTTAATTCTTCTTCCAATTGTGGTATAACGTTAAGTAATAATCCAGGTGCTATTCGGTTTAATTCTTTAATTAACTCATGAGCAGTTTTAAAATCATTCAATTCTTCGGCAGGTGCTCCTGATTTTCCGGCAGCGACAATTACATCAGTAAAATACTATTAAAAAAAAAAACACGAATCAAATTTTAACATTCTTTGTGTTAACTTAAAAATCATTTATAAATAAATTTATTTTATAAAAGAAATCTCACTTGACAAATATATCTTTGAAGTTTATCCGTTGAGGCTTTACAAACTTCACTTGCCAACTTATAAGCCGCAGGATTTTCATCCTAATTGATCCAATCGAATTAAATTAATTTATTAATTAAATAATCGAATTTATCAAGGTGATAATAAAAAAAAAAAAAAAAGAAAGAAAGAAGAAATTTACTTTTCGCTTTTTTAAAAACTGTGCGAGTATAATTTCAATAACTTCTTGTGGAAGAGCTTCTTGACTATCATTTATTAATTGTTCAAGAATATCCACCATATGTGAATGAACAACCGTTGACATTCCCTGTCTGTAATATAATATAATAAGATCATTGAAATAAATTCATGAATTGAAATTTTTATTTTTATTATTTTTTTTTATTAAATATAAAATTTTGATCCTTCGAACCTGATAACATCAAATATATTACGAAACAACTCAATTAAGAGTTCTTCATGATTTTGTAAATCCAATATCAACAAAACTATCTTTACTCTTGCCAAATTTTCAAGTAAATGAAAATAAAGGTCATAATAAGGACCATTTATGTTACCAATATTTTGAAGTTGACGAACAAATAAATCAAATATATTCTAAAAATATAAAAAAAAAAATAATTTTAAATAATTATCCTGGCGCAAAAAAAAAAAAAAATAAATAAAGAATATATTATTACTCTGAGTTCGTAATCAGTGTACGGTGCATCAGGTGCGTAAAGTCTTAGTAAATCCGATACACAACACGCAACGTAAACTTTTACTCCTCTATCTTTATGTTTAATAAGACTAGAATGTATGAGGTCGCGAGTAACGCTCCTAAGAGATTCCACGTCAATCTCTTCTTGTTCTGTTCTAGAAATTTCTCCAAATAAACTCTAATTTAATAAGGGAAAGGTCAGGATATTATAAAAGTAAAAAAAAAAAAGGTTTCAAAATTAAGCTAATTAACAAAATACCTTTAGTCGTTTCAATAATTCTGGAGTAGAAATTTGTTTTGCTGACGGTGATATGAGTCTCTGTTTAAATTGAAGACGACCTACTCGCGAACCTGAACCTGAACCTTTCCCAGTAGACATTATATTTCGGGTTTTTTTTTTATTTTTTATTTTTTTAAAAAAAAAATTTCTTTAAAAACAACACCACCAAATATACACGTACATTATTTATATTCAACGAATTCACGTGGTAAACAACACAATGTTCATAAAAATTCCATATTAGTCTTGGTATATATTATTAGAAAGTGCATATAATTTTTTTTTTTATTTGTTAAAACCTAATTATATTATTATAGTTTTTTATTACATGTATTATTTTATTAAAAAATATAAAATAACTATCTATTTATTCATTCAAAAAAAAAAAATAAAATAAAATGAATAACGCGTAAAAAGAATTTTTTCTACGAAATTTAAATATTATAATAACTAACCTATTCTTAGTAAATTAATTTTAAAACTGATAAAATAAGATAAAAAGAATAATAATAATGTTAAGACTATAGACTCAAGACTACCTGCAATAAATAAAATTTTAAAATACATTCGCGTTTATTAAAAAAAAAAAAGGAGTGAGGAAATTGATTGTATATGTTTGATGAATGATGATTATTATTATTATTATTATTATTAAAATTTATGCCCACAATTGAAAAAATCCAAAAAATGAAGTAAAAACGAACAAATTAAAAATAAATAATATTATATAATTAGAATCGTATAAAATTATTTCATTTTCCTCTATTTCTTCTTTTGGTCAACTATAATGATCGGTAATCTTGGCAAAGAATGGATTCATAAATTCAAAGAATGCAAATTGTGAAGGTTGTGTTCCGTATTTATATACGAATCGACTAGCCAAATATGACCCGAAAATCGCGCGAACATATGATTCTGGTATTCTCTCTAATAAGGTATCTAAACCTAATCTGTCAAGTAACAATTGTGGAAATGCATCCCTTAATACTGCTTTTCTTAATGGAACGTTTTGCCATAAAATAGATTGTTGCATATTTTCATTTAGATCAACAATTGCAAGACTGAGTTCATCTGAAATGATTGAACGTGGTTTATTTGTTCTTCGATGTTCTTTCCAAATACATTCAAATTCTAATTCGGCATTCTTTTCGATAATATGGTGTACTCCTTTAATATATTCTTGATAGAATTGAGGTATAACTCCATCTTTTACCACCATGTTTTTCGCGAATTCTTCGTCGGTCAATGCAAGAGCCGCCAAAACTTCCAAGGAAGATGAGGTGACACCACCTTTGTTGGCTGATGCATCTTTGAAAATTATAGCACCTGCATTCTCTAATCGAATACGAGCTTCTTGGGTAAAGAACAAGTTGGCACCTTCAACAATATACTTGAATCTTGGTTTACCATGTAAATCTAATAACGAATTAACATTGGTGAGATCAACCGCTTCAGGTCTACCACCACAAGGAACTAATAGATCAGCATTGACCATATTTGTCAAGTGGAAATTGTTACGGAACAATAATCCATCCTCAATAACTTGACCATCTATTAAAAAAATTTTCATAAATTAATTAATAAATAATTTTTATCATCTTTTAAATTCTCGTTGATAGTGATATTATGATACTTACTTGGTAATTTAAAATTCGTTTGATCTATCAACACTTTAAAACCTTTAGGTGATAATTTGCTTTCGTCGAATTGAGAAACCATTAAACGAGAGTTGGCCAATCTTTTTAATTCAGAACGATCAATACCTTCCTGGTCACATATCACACCACTACCATCCACAATAGCTGTTACATAATAATAATAATGATGATGATGATGATGATGATGATGAGATTAATAATGATACTATTAATAATGAATGAAATATTTTTTACGTAAATTAATTAGTCAAAAGTAAAAAAAAAAAAAGAAAACAAACCAACAGTGCGATCCTTTGATATTTTAATTTCGTTACTCCCTAAATCACCATCAGGTCCTCCTGTTTGGAATTTTGTAATATTTTGTTCTTTAAGATTGAATTTTCTGTAAATTCCAAGTACATATTGATGAACGGATCGCGTTGTCATTCCATAAAGATCATGCGGGATTCCACCCATAGATTGACTCTTTCCAGTAGTGAAAGCCTTCCAGAATGCAGCACCACGTGCTCGAGCATGTGCACTAGCCCAATCAACAAAGTTGGCCGTTCCTTCATCAGGGCCAAAGAATAAAATTTCAGGCTTATTATATAAATCGACAATCTTCTAAAATTTTTTTTTTTTTGTATTATCGAAATCAAAAAAAAAATTATCATTTTACATAATCATTTTACATCATCATTTTACATCATCATTTTACGAATAGGAAGATGATTAAAAATAATTATTGTCATTTTCTTTTTTAATTACCTCTTTGATTCCAGGAGAATTACCCACAATCAATAGATCAAGTATGGAATCGACATATTTCTCAAATGCCACACGATCTTTATCTTGTTGAGATATATCCAAAAGAATGGTTCCCTTGGAACCTCCCTCAGGAATATCTTTGTTCTTTCTCTGTTGAGTGGCGGCCAAAGCGTAATTCTCATCAAAAAGAGTTCTTAAGTTGATACTATAAGATTCTTTATTTCTTGATCGAATTATACGAATACCACCACGAGCCACATCCCGGAATCTCAAATGGAAACCACGAAATTCCGAGCCAATGACGATGAACATACCAAACAATTTTGTAGGATATTCGATTGCGGGTAAAAAGGTTGGATCAAGACGAAAAGACAAGGCAACTTTTGTAGGTTGATAAAAGTTTGTTTTAAGAACATGTTTATTGAAAATCAAGAATGATTCAAACACCATGAATTCGTGAAGATTAGATGTTGTCTTTTTAATCTTTTCCAAGAGTTCATCATCACTAAGGACAACGTCAGTCTGTATACGTTGATAAGATAATGTTGGCCTAAAATAAAATAAAATAAAATAAAATAAAAAAAAAAACAAACAAACAATAAGTTTTAAAAGTTTTCGAAGTTTTAAAAAGTTTTAAACATGAAGTTGTCAATATACTTACTCGAGGGCAGCGGCACGTGGGTTGACATAATGTGTCAAAGCGAAGTTGATATATAACAAGTGAATTAAATCTGGATACATTTTAATAATTTCCAAAATGTATTCACGAGTAAATGTATCGGAACGTAAACGCTTTTTAATTTTATTTAAAACTTCAACGTGAACCGGATCAGTTGCATTCATCGCATTTGCCAGACTAGCATATTCGTTACCCAGACGATTAAGGAAATGTTGAGCAAAAATCCAACCAACGTAACCATAAATTGCTTCTTGAACTGATAATCTCCCCGTTTGGAAAAATGATTGTAAGGGAGTAGTAGGTAAACAATAAATAAGAGAAGCTTCTTTGATAACTTGATGAATTGTATGTTCGATTGGAGCAGATTTCGAATTTGGCAAGGGGTTTAAGTAAAGACTCATAACGGTAACTCCATTAGAAAATTGTTCTGAAAAGGAAGTCAACAAAAAAATGAAACTTTAATTATTTAAGTTAAATTCACAAGTGAATTTAAATAAAAATGATATTATAATAATAATAATAATATTAAGATGATACATACCGACATATTTTCTGGTAGAATAAAGTTCATAAAAATGATAAAGGTCTGACATTGCAGAAAAGAAGGATTGTGTACTTCGTTGTCTGTAACCAATGACAAGACGTCTTTCTCGACTACCTTCAACTTCAAACATTTCAATTACGGGACCGGTTCTTTGAAGTACAGTTTTCATGACATTTTGATAAATTTCTAAAGTATTATCGGTTGCCTTTTCCAAAAAGGTTTTATCACCAACGAGACGAACATCAGTTTCTTCTTCGGGAGAAGGATCAATTTTGACGAAATCACATTTGGCCACGAAATAACAACGAAGTTGAGTATTCATAGATTCTGAAACAGTTCCGAGAGAACGATAGGATTCTAGACGATAAGCTTTAGCGGTAGAGCTTACATCTAAAAATTGGGTGTCAATTCTAAAATAAGAAGAAAATTAAAAAATTAATGAATATTCAATAAGTTTTGATATATATACAAATAAAGATAAAGGAATAAAACAAACCTTTTTTCGTATTGTGGACCTTTTACATTGGAAACTCCAGGACGAGAAGTATGAATATATACGGCAGCTTCATCAGTTTCACGTTCGAGATTTATATCCAAAGCATTTTCATTCTTTGTGTAAGCGGAAATCTTTGCACCATATAACGCCAAAATGTGATTTGCTATGGTTTCGATGCTTTCTAAGCTAAAATACATGTCATCAATACCGAGATTACTATTATATGAGATAAAAAAAAAAAAAGAGAAAAAAAGGAAAGAAAATTTAAGTCAGTTAATAAATGGACAAATAATTAGAATGGGAGATGGCAAAAAAAAAAAAAATTAAGCTTACCCGTAAAACCATTTAACTTCATTATTTACGAGATCCTTTGGAATAAAACCTTTTCCTTCCAAATATTCACATACCTTTAACATTTGGTCGGCTTTGCCGTCAAAGATATTTTCGCTATAACCTATCGAGTTTCGAACCATGCTATTAGGAGGCATAAACAAGCCGTGAACACGGAACGACATTTTTTTTTTTTGAATAAATTTTAATTGTTTATGTAAAAAAATAAAAATGAAAAATGAAGAATAACAATAATAATAACAAAACCGAAATATAAAAAAGAACTTTTTAAAGTTCAATAAAGTTCAATATAAAAAAATTAAAAATAATTAAAATATAAATAAATGAATTAATGTTTGTACAGTAATAATGAAGAAATGTGCGATATTCGAGAAAATAAAATGTGGAGATAAAATTTATTTAAAGAAGAGCCTCAAAAAAATACGCTCAGAGTTGATCTAAAGCGGATGTTATAGAGCGTTCACCATCACAATTTGTAAGCGAAGATTTTTCAAACCTTATATATAATTAAACAAAAGATATGTGTAACATCTACTTGTAAAGGAGAAGGATAAAATTTCATTGGGTGAATTAATTCAAAAACTAAAAAAAGAAAAGCATAACAAAATTATAAAAAAAAAAAATATATATATATATGAAACTCTTAATTATTAATTTAATTATATAAAAAACAATATATAATCAGCTTCTTTTAGTAATTTTTTTTTGCCTGTAAAATAAAACCTTTTTAACTATTTTCTTTCTTTTGCTAGTTTAACTCGTTTTTGAAATTAAAAAAAAAAAAAAAAAAAAAAAAAATAAATTAAATTAAAAATATTTTAAAACTGAAGAAATTTGATCGTCCCATATAAACTTTTTTAATGACGTTTTTTTTTCGTTATTTCATTTGTATTTGCATTAAAAATTTCCAAACGGATGAGTATTCTCTTGGTGCATGCATGTGATAAATAATATAAAATAAAATAAAAGAAATTTTTTCGAGATGATCAGAGGAATTTCTGTTTTTATCCAAATAGGGGTAATAGAAAATGTAGAGACAAAAAATACAATTATAAGAGGAAATTTATTGTTTATTGTTGCTATTGTTTATTTTCCTCATTTTCCTCGGAGTAATTCATTATTATTATTATATAATACAAATATTCTCACACTAATTTACTAAATTTCTCAGATTAAATTTTCCAAGTGGCGTCATAACCAAGTTATATTTACTCAATATTTTTATTTTTTTTTTATTTTTTATTCGGTTCCTTGGTTGAAATTTATCACTTCGGTCTATGCTAAAATTAATACGTGTATAATAATAAGGAATAATAAGAATAATGATAATAATGATAATAATAATAAAATTTTTAATTAATAAAGATGTAAATGTATTCTATGGAGAATGATGATGTTAATCTGTACAAATAGATTGTATGCTAAAAAGAATATTATATGAGGTAGATCATTGTTGGGCGAAGATTACCAAATTCGGAAAAATGAATAAACTGGAGAGAATTCTCTACAATTATTATTATTATGACTCACTTTATCACGAGTGAGAACACATGAACACGAAGACGCCAACAAAACTCGAACTGTCAAATCGAAATTTTATTGGTTCATCAAATCCAAATTCCTTAACTTTGCCCATAAGAGTTTATAATTTTTTTTTTGTCATCATTTTTATTATTATTTTTTTTTTTTATTAAAGCAATAGAATGATGATTAGTAAAACAATGCCGATCTTAGAGGGACATATTAGATTTATAGATGAGCAACGATTTTCTACCAATTACCATTTGAAGATTTCTTATTTCAAAACTTCACAATGATGGCTTTTTTCTGGTATTGCCAAGATATTAAGATAATGCATTAAAAAATAACTTGCCATTTAGACATGAATAATTGAAGCAGATTTCGCATTTAAATGTGGTATAAAATGATATATAAAATATAGTATAATAAAATATTGTACAAAATTCGGCTCATTGTAATATTAAAATAGCTTTTACTATACCTTGGGTCATGCCCTTAACTTTTTTTTTTTTTTTTTTTTTTTTTTTTTTTTTGCAGTTTTGCAAAACCAATTCCTAATATTCCTAATATGAGAGATTATCTATCAATACGCTTTTTTATTAACTTTAAGGAGACATGTTAATAAAATTTAAATCTCAGAAACAATTTTATGATTTATAATTTATGATTGAATGATCTTTCTTAAGTTTTAAATTATTTAAATTTATCAAGAAACCAAATTATAAATCTTAATTATTAATCTCAATGCATAAAAAGGCTTTGACCTTACAGAATTTCCATTTATAAGTATAGTATAAGTTCTTGAAATAAAAAAAAAAGGCGCGTGTTGCCGCTTACTGATCAATGAAAGGTTATTTTTTAATGCGTTAGATTTATTGAAAAAATTCAAAATATTTTTTTAGGTAAGTGGATAATAGATATATGTAAATAATAATATAATAAATAATTAATAATTAATTAATTATCTAATAATTAATTAATAATTTGAGGGTACATAATTATTATTCTTTTTTTTTTTTTTTTAAAAAAAAAAAAAAAAAAAATTTCCATTTTTCATATATTATAAAATTATAAATTATTGGTCCACCAATTCGCTTAACAATTCCCATTCACCTTTTATATTTTCTTTGTACAATGTAACTTTGTTATCTCCACATGCAACTGCTAAAATATTTCCTGATAAAGACCAACTAACTCTCCATACTACATCAAGAAATCTTTCGTTACGAAGAGGAGTTTTATTCCATGTAGAATTTGGAGTATCTTGAGTCCAAATGAATACTGTCTTATCCTATTTTTAATGTGTATCGATTATTTTATTTATTAAATATGAATTAATAGTTATTATATAAATTAATAAGTTATTATATGAATTAATAGTTATTTTTACGAAGGATTATATGATAAATAAAAATTCATTCATTTCGTTTATAAAGTAAAAAAAAATGATTTCTAACCTGAGAACAACTGGCCAAATAACTTTTTGGTAGTCCTACATTTGGAGCCCATGCAACATCACGTACCCAGTCTGTATGACCTTCCAAAGTCTCGTCTTCTTTCCATTCATTAACGTCCTCCCTTTATTCAAAAAAAAAAAAAAGAATTCCAAAGTTACACACATATGCATATATACAAATAAAAGAATTGTATATAATATGAGAGAAAATGAAACCTGTAACTCCAGATTTTAATATTGTTATCACAACCTCCCGAGGCAAATCTCTTTGATACATTTACGTTTGGTGCACCACCAGTAATTTGAACTAATGCTCCGGGTATCGTTGCTGGAGCCCAACTGACGGAATTTGCACCAATGTTATGAGCATCAAAAATCTGTGCATCCCAATTACCATCATCTTTTTACAAAAAAAATAAATAAATAAATAAATAAATAAATTATCAAATTATTCTTAAAAAATTATATATACTATAAATATTATTATTATTATATATAAGAGTACCTTTAAATGTGAGAACCGAAATTTTTCCATCCGAAGAAGCACAAGCTAGAATTGGCCCTAATTCATGAGGTGCCCATGATATTGAATTTACTAAAAAAAAATAATTATGATTAATATTTTTTTTTAAAGAATATTTTCAAAAAAAAATCATTTTATTTTTAATTTTCGTACATTCTCCAAACCTTTAATACTACTACTACTACTACTATTACTAAATTCATATCATACCAGAAGCTGTGTGTATTGTATGTTCTTTAATCCTTTTCCAAGATCCACTTTGTTCTTTCCAAATAAAGACTTTATTATCATATGAACAAGATGCCAATATATTTCCAAATTTTGGATGAGCCCAAGCAACTTGCCATACTGGTCCCTCATGTCTAATTAAATTAAATTAAATTTATTAATAAATTCCCGATTAAAATTAAATGATCTAATTGATTAATTAGAATTATATAGTTTTCTAGAATAAAATAATAATGATAATTCACCCTTTTAAAGTTGCAAGTTCGCGCCGGTTTTCTCCTTCAATTTCGAAAATTTTCACAGTTCGATCGGAAGAACAAGTCGCCAATCTCTTTCCGTAATAATCAAGTTGGGCATCGTGCTTAAGAAAAAAAATTAAAATTAAAATTTGATAAATTTTCGTTTTTTTTTTAAAAAAAAATAAAAAAAAAACAGTTACCACCATATCTTCATGGAAGGTTTCAAGTGTATGTTGACCATGGACTGTTGCTGCCTGATCGCAAAATAAGTTATTATAGAAAAAATTTATTAAACTTTACTCAAAATTTATAGTTGATTTTATACACACTAACGTACCATTGTTATTAATTGAGTAATGATAAATTTTCGAATTTAGTTTGTAAATATAATATACACACACAAATCGAATTTTCCACGTATTCAAATAAAATTTTTTTCCTGGTAATCAGATGATCAGATGATCAGTGACATCATAAAATAACTTCGCGAAAAAAAAAAATTTTCTAACTCTTCCTTTTCCAACTTTCCTTTTTTGGTTATTAATATTAAAATAATTCTTTTTTTTTTTTTTTTTTTATTAAACTTTCTCTTAACTACGAGGACTAGTATTCCTTTTTTTTATTTTTATAATTTAATATTTCCTTATTTTTTTTTGTTTTTAGGAATTCCGAGGGTTCGTAACACGTGTGGTTGTTTTAATTTCTTAAGGCTATGAGCAATAGCTCTTGCCCTGTAAAACTAACACCATATGATGATGTGATACCTTTAAGTAAATTGCCTTTTGGTCAATTTTCCATCACCTAATTACCAATGTACATTTACAGAACCACGTGTGTAGTTCTTGTGTAGTTACTTGTACATTTACTAGTACACATGGTCTTGCATGTTGTAGTAAAGGCTAACATGTAAGTATTAGATTTCTATGGAAAGTAGAAAATGGAAGACTAATAAATACTTTATGGAAGTGATTATCATTTTTTTATTAGTACACGATACAATAGGTAAATTTTTACTATGCATATCTAAATTTAGATATAATCGATATTACTTTTTTTTTTTATATGATAATAATTATTTTACGGATCGATGATTTTCGCAGCTGGGTAAACTGATTCTAATAATATCCATGAAGATATCGGAAATAACTGATCCTCAACTTGTTTTTCCTATTATTTCACATAATGGTAATAAAAAATTTTTCTATCTTTATTGAATTAATAATAGAAATTATTATTATTATTGAATTATATTTTATAGATGAAAATGTAAATAATACATGATCGAAACTCGTTTATCGATTCTACAGGTAAATAATAAATAATAAAATTAATTCTATAATTATAACTAATATGAATTATTCAAAAAAGAGTAATTAAAAAAATTTGGTCAGCAGGGAAGTGAGAAAAGAATGACACTACAGTTAAGACTTATTTAGAATCCCTTTTTTTTTTTTTAACAGAATGTCAGCAAAAGATATGGTAATTGAATTAGAAGAATATCAGATATAGTAGAGAAATTCAATCAAAATCGTTGAAATGTGGATTACTTCTGAACAAGGAGTTGATGAGGGTAGTAAAAGTGATTATGAACAAGATAAAAATAATAATGAAATTCGTCAATCTGAGCTCTAATAAACAAAAAATATATTTTGTACTCACAAATATGATCTTTGATAGACGAATCAGCAATTAAGTAAATCAATGATTATCACTTATATATACTTTAAAATTTTTTTCAAACTAAAAAGTGTGTGCCAAAGCCGTATAAAGTAATTAACTAGTCGACATTTAAAATTATGCCTAATTAAGTTTCACCCCACGTGAAAAATGACTAAAACCTACAATAGATAAACGTGAAAGACATCATACCTCATAACCTATTATATAATTACACTATTCCACTTACAGCAAGGGATAAAATTTTATCAAGTTCATACTTTTTAATTTCATTGACCCCTGAACAAAACCTTTGATAATATTTAATATATTTAATATAAATAATATGATTGATATATATATATTATAATTAATATTTTATATATTAATTCGTGATTTGTAACAACTGGTCAATTTTAATATTAGAAAATGGGCAAATTTACTATGTTTTTTTTTATAATTTTGGAATCCAACTCCTTCAAGTTAAAGTGAAATTGTAGTAAATTATTTAAGTAGTTTAAGATAATTGTTTGAGAATATTTGTTATCCTTCAGACCCTTGTCCACAAGAAGGTGTGACAATGTATAGAAATAACCTAGCATCTCTGACACATCTCTGGCACATATCCTAAATACATATATTAGTAAAAACAGCAAAGCTAACATATATTATATTTTGCATATTAGAAATCAGTAAAATTAATGAAACCTGTTCTTATACCAAGAGTCAAGGATATGTGTAAAAGGTTGGTATCAAATTTTCTGGTTATAATAATTATAATAGATTATCTAAGAAGTTGATTTATGATGGATCTTGAAAAGAATTGGAAAAAAAAAATTACATATGTTGTGAAAAAAATTCTTGATACCTTAGAAAATATTTGGAACAACACAGCTTTTACTCCTGAGATGGCAAAAACATCACAGGTCAAATGCAAAAGAATTGTCATATCAAAAAGGAATTTCAATTATAATATAGGATATGATTTTTTCTGATTTTTAGCTGATCTATAATATAGGAATTATCATTTGGTACAGTGATTCTTTTGTATTTGACTAGTAAATTAAACAAAAAGGCTTATCAATCTACAATTATTGTATTAACTATATGAGCAGTTTTAAAAAAATCTTCTTCTTGAGCTATTATCATTTATCAGCACATCAGAAAGGCAAAGTATTATAAGTACAAATAGAAAACACTAGTAAATACAAAAAAAATCACTATACCAAATTATACATGTTGCCCAAATTCCAAATTACTAGTATTTGGGATTTGGGATTTGGGATTTTGGCAAAAAATACTAATCATAATTTG